CTGAGCTCAAGAGCAGGGACTGATTTTTGCCTTTCTTTATATTCCCCCAGCTTAGCAGAGTGCCTGTCTCACAGTATGCTCCTAACAATGTTTTTAGATGTGACAACATAACTTGTGATTTCACAGTCTTGGTCAAAGCCACCTCCATTCACTCAGCCTCTCCTGTGGAAATCCTGGTATTATCTTTGATCTTCCTCTCCCATGACCCCCTACTAGGTGCTGCTAAATGTATCTCCAGGGCAGCTCTCATGTTTGTTCTTCCTTCTCTATTCCTAATTTTCTCTACTACAGGAGAGGTCTTTATTTATACCCCTGGGACTACTGTAGTATCCTCTAATACACACTTCTCAACCTATTGAAGGTAATATCAAGGGTAGCCTTGGCCCTGGTGTGTCCTGCTATGTGCTTTGCCTGATGAACTCTTATTGTTTTCTTTTTTTTTTTAATTTTTAGAGGTCTCTTAATTTATCATTCAGTGTTTTCCAGACTTGTTATTGACATACAATTTCTCTTATGTCTCATAACAATTTCCTTAACACATGAAGATTCCATTTTTCTTTAGCAATCAAGAATGAACATCATTTTAAGTATCCATTATTCTAGCTTATCCAGAACTGAAATCTGTGCCTGAAGCTGATGAGGTGATCAAGGCTGGTCTTCAGCCTGATGCCCATTTTCTCATTTTCTGAGGACACATTCTGGTTCTGCACTTTAAGCTAAGCTAGTTCTGTCTCCTAACAGCTCTTATGTTCTTTCAGACCCTCATTCTCCTCATTGAGGACAGTGATCCTCTGCTCTAATGACTTAGTGACATCTGTCAGAGATTCTATCTTTCCTGCAGGTCCTGAGCCTTTTGGAGTTCACCACGTACATCTGAATTCTGTTTCTGGAGACTAACACATGTCTTTCAGCTCTTGGTTCTGTTGGCATAGTTCTTCTATATTGGGGGGGGGGCTGGGCAATGGGGTTAAGTGACTTGCCCAGGGTCACACAGCTAGTAAGTGTCAAGTGTTTGGTCTGAGGCTGGATTTGAACTCAGGTCCTCCCGAATCCAGGGCCAGTGCTCTACCCACTGCACCACCTAGCTGCCCTGTTGGCACAGTTCTTGGTTGAGCTACTCAGTCTCCTCCACCTCTCCATGAATGGTGACCACTAAAACGTTCCCCTCACTTTCTGGATGGAACTGGAAAGGGACACTGCCCCCCCCCCGACAACACCATTATTCTTGGGTAGGTAGGAGGCTTTAAACTGCACTTGCTGCCAGGACAATTCTCTGTGGAGGCTGGCAGGCAAAGCCGTCCCCACGATGATCTCACATGCTTGGGTTGTCTTTCATCCTACACTAAAGATGCTAACAGTCTTTATGGTGGGGAATGAAATGCTGGGTGAGGGTGTAACAGCATGTGATGTGTCCTCTGGGAAGCTAAAATTTCTCCACATAGTTAAAGATGATCTGAGAGAAATGGCAATGATGCAGCAGGACGGCTGACATAAGGGGCTCTTCCACGGTGGGGGGGGCCTTCCACAGCAGCAATAGCAGCCACAAGCAGCTGTGTTGCAGCACCAACAAGGGCAGGGGGTGGGGAGGTGGGGAACATCACAGGGAGAACTCTTCACCCGCCCCACCCCCAATCCATTATTCTTACTGAGGGCACCAACAGTTTTCCAGTCATCCACGTGTGTATGTAACATCACCTTAGGCCAGAACATTGCAATAGGCTGCTGAGGGGTCTCCCTGCCTCAGCCTCACCCCACTCTGGGCCACCCTCTACTCAGATGTCAAATTCTTCTTTCTAAAGTGCAGGTGTTTCCAAAAGACTCTTGATGGAAAATGCTATCCACATCCAGAGAAAGAATTGACGGACGCTGAATGCAGATCGAAGCACATTATTGTTACTTTCTTTGCCCTTTCCATGCTTTTTTTTCCCTTTTGTTCTGTTTCTTCCTTCAAAACATGAGTAATGTGGAAATATGTTTTACATGACTGCAGATGTATGACCTATAGATTGCTTGCTGTTTTGGGGATGGGTGAGGAGAGAGGGAGAAAAATTTGTAACTCAAAATCTTATTAAAAAATGAATGTTGAAAACTATCCATGTAATTGGAATAAAATAAAATATTATTTAAAAAATAAAGTGCAGGTAAGACCATGTTATTTTCCTATTCAACAAACTCCAGTGGCTCTACTACCTACAGGAAAAAAAGATTTGGAACTCAACATCTTGGGAAGTGAATTTGAAAACTAAAAATTAATTTTAAAAAAGGAACAAAAATAAAATCCTGTTTGACTTTTAGACTGGGCACTCCTTCAAAGCAAAGACTATTTTCTGCCTTTCCTTGTGCCCCAGCACTTAGCCTGGTGCCTGGCACTTGGAAGGCACTTAATCAATGCTTACTCATTTGATTTGACTAATCTTATGGAGCTTCACCCTCCTCATCTACAAAATGAAGGGTTTAGACCACAGGTCTCTTCCAACTCTAGATCAATGCTCTATAATCAAAGGGCATTGGTTGCTAGAAAATGTAGCAAAGGAAAGAATGAAGTCCTTGAACCCATAGTCTACCGCTTTCTCACCAAAGAATACATTAGAGGAGCAGTTCCCTTGGAAAGGGACAGGTTACTTAGAGGTTAACGAGAACTTCCTTGGGATTCAAGGGCTCCTAACAAACATTTAGTTCCTTGCTTCCCTGTGTCATTTATTGCTTTCTCCATACTTTATATCCCTAAATTCCTGAGATCTTTGTTTCCAAAAATGATGATTTCATAGATAAGATTCATATCAGCCCAGGTAAAGAGATTGGCAGCCTAGATGCTCGAATAATAACAAATGTCTGCATCCTTCCAAACGTTCATTAGGAGAAGAAAAAGATAAACATTCCAATGGATTGGATAGAATCTATGAGAACCTGGAAACTGAAATATTGCTCAGAAATTTCTGTACAAAAAGGAAAAGCAGCTGAGCAATCTTGGTGCTTTACCCCCACCAGCCCTGTGGGAGCTGCCACTCTCCCCACATCTCCCCAGCTCCCATTTACTGCTCTGACACTGACAGGTGTCTGCACTCTCCAAAGGGGAAGAAGAGCCCAACTTGGATGAAGAGCAGAGGAGGCCCAGCATCCTCATTTCCACCCCTCCTGACACTTCTGCTGCTGGTCAACAATGGCCTCCCATAAACTTCATTAGGAAAAGGTAAGTTCTGGGCAGACCCACCCATTGCATGGCAATGAACTGACTACAAAAATCATTCATTTAGAAAGTATTTCATCCTAAGCATTATGGGCAAATGGTATGGTGATTTTTAACAATTGATTTCCCTCTATTTACCCAAAGAGCACTAATTCGGGGGATGAGATTCCGTCAGACTTCTACCAAAGGTCCAGGAAACGTCTGGAATTAGATTTCATAACTGTGACCAAAGGGAGAATTGTTAACTAAATAAGACTTAGAGGAAAACCAGAGGAGAAAACTATTTTGATTACTGAAACTAGAAGCCTTTGCATAACAAGATCAACAGCTAAAAGAATTGTTGATGGGGAAAATGTCTTTGTATCAAATGTCTCTGATAAAAGTCCATTATCCAAGACATGTAGGGAACGAACATCAATCTATAAGGCCAAGAGCCTCTTCCTGTAGAGAAGAGGTCAAAGAAAATTAATAATTCTCAAGTTTGCTCCAAATCACTGACAATGAGAGAAATGGAAGTTAAAAAAACCTGAGGTTTCACCTTTTCCCCAGCAAATCTTCCAAGGTGACGACACATGAAAATGGCCAATGTGGGAAGGACTACACACAGACAGGTAGATGATGCCCTATTTGTGGAGCTGTGACCTGGTACAACAGTCATGAAAAACAATCTGGAATCATGCTCAAAAGCACAAATCTCCATACCCTTTGATCCTGAGATCCCACAGCTTAACATATATGCCAAGGGTGTAAAAGGTGGGGGGGAAATCTTGGATGTGTGTGTACATATATATTCATTGCAACACTTTGTGGCAGCAAAAAAGGAGAAACAAAGTAGGTGCCCATGAACTGAGAAAGGACTAAGCAAATTGTGGTACCTGAACATGATGGAATTGTGCTGTAACAGAAGAAACAACGAAAATGAGAAATTCAAAGGGACATGGGAAGACTTCAATGAACTGACACAGAATAGTGTGAGCAGAACCAAAACCCAAGACTACAAAATGGGGGGAGATGATGCTGAATGTTATGGAATCATAGTTACCAAGCTTGGCCACAGAGAAGAGGAAATAAACACTTCATGGAAGAAGTGGGGAGACTACAGTATGTACTGTTGCACAGACTGTCAGTTATATGTGATCAATGTGAGGGTTATTATGCAATTTTTGAGTAAAAGTTTTTTTATGAGGAAAAGCTATGGGAGGAAGGTATATATTAACCAATGAATATAACATAAACACAAAATGTATTACTAAAACTTTAATTTTTTAAAGTGCAATGGAGGGGCACATGACAGGCAAGCATAGGCTACAGCATATTGTCAAAGAAGAAGTGAACAGAAGTGATAGAAGGAAAGTCACCAGAAAAGGTGGGCCCATCACAGAGGGAAAGCTAAGGATTTTCGGTCAGACAGCCTGGGATGGCCAGTGGTATCTATGTAATATCAGGAAATGTAGAGGAAGGCCATCAGCATGCTGGTTACTCAACCTGTGCAGGAATTATGGGAGAAAATGGACAAGAGGCACCCAGGATGAAAAGGTGTGGCTGGATTGCAACCTGCACCTCTGGAGGCATTGCACACTTTGACAGATTGTACAAATCCCAAGTGCTGAACTTTCCTCCCTCTGCTTCCCTCACTTTGTCTCCATGTCACCAAGCACCAGCTGATTTTCAGTCTTCTAATTCTTGGGGTGAAGGCTCAAGGGACAAAAATGGATTAAAAAAAGGTACAGAAACAAAGAAGGGTGGAGGGGGTCTTTGAAGCTCTGTTGGGGAAATGCCAAAGAGTCCAAACAGAGTCAAAGGAACAGGGAACGAGCCAGTCCAGGGAAGTGGTCTGTAGGAGCAACCTCCTGGAGATCTGGGCAGAAGCAGGGGGCCTCCAAACATGAGAGGGAGGCTGAGGGGGCACAACAGTTCCAGGTGACACAGGCTCAGGGATCAGCTCAGAAGCCCTGCAGAGGACACAGAACAGTCAGATAAAGTTTACATAGGGGTCTGAAGCCACTGGAACCACTTCTTCCCAGTAAGGGCCCCCAAGTCCCTTCTTAGCTTCAGGCCCCACTGGGCAGAGGCTGTAGCTATGAGAACCCTGATGCCACCTAGGTAGAAGGATCTTACCTGTTGGTTGTGAACCCTGATTTCCTGGGAAAGGAAGAGAGACAGACATACAAATCCTTGTAAATTCTAGAGCAATAGAAGCAAAAGGCAACAAGGTTCTGAGCACTGTGGGACGGGGGGCTCCCACCACTGCTTGGCCCAGTACCTTGACACCACAGAGGAAGCACTTAATTGAAGCTTTATCCATCCATCTACAACTATGTGAGTGGATGGGGAAGGGTAAAGGGCAGGGGGAGGGGCTAAAGTCTAGAATCTGAAGTCCTCTCAAGGCTGCCTCTACTAGTGAATATGGGATTCCCTAAGACCCTGAGCCCTGGGATCTGGCCCCTTCACCACCTTCTATAAGTTCCTAGGGAAGGAAAATGTGACCCCAAAGGCAGAGAATCCCTTCATCCCTGACCTGGGGCCAGATTTCTGACACAATCAAATATCCTCTCTCTTGGAGATCACAGAAGGGAGGGGCCTCAGGGTTTTCCCCAGAGTGTCTCACCTTTCTGACTCCTCTTGTAGACAAAGAGGCCAACCCCAAAGAAGATCAGGCCCAGCACGAGGCCCCCGACTCCACTCAGCATCTTACTCTGGGCAGATTCAGACTGTGCTTCTAGGGAGAAGAGACACCAAGTATCAAAACTTTCCCTCCAGGAGCCAGCCCCATGTGGGGAGTAGATGGGTCTGAGCTGTCTAAGAAAGGAAGGGATGGATGTGCAAAGGGCCTTTCAGGACTCAGGAAATGAAAGTCTTCAGGGGACACTGACACCAATCCGTCTCAAAGCCCAGCTGCCCTACCCAGGGGAAGGGGTCTATAAGCTGATCACAGAGTCTGATGGGTAGGCCAGCTCCAAGACCTGGGGCCAGTGAGGAGGCTGACCAGGTTCTAGGTCTCCATAGGTCTTAGTTTAGCACTGCCATTAGGGGGCTGTTCTGGGGAAAGGGGGGAGACTGGGTAGCACCACACTGGGTTTGTATGAGCCCAGGCCAGAAGAAAAGAGGGCACAGGACACACACTAAGGGGATCTCAGAGCTAGCTCCATGTCCTGAGCAATGTTAGAACTGGAGGGTCAGGGAGCAGTATCTCACTCCAGTCCAAGACAACAGGTTTCTGAAGGCTGGAGTGCTCCACTTGGCAGGTGTAGACGTCTCCACGCTTGGGGGTCATTTCCAGCATCACCAGGAGCTGGTAGGTCCAGTCTCCATTGCTGATCAGGCCTGTGGACACAACCCCAGCCGTCTCCTCCTGCCCATTCAGGAACCACCTGACCTCAATGTCCCCAGGATAGAAACCACTGACAGAGCAGACAAGCAGGTTGTGGTGTCCCAGGGGAGCCATCTTTGATGGATACACAATCACCTCGGGCTCAACTGGAAGAAAGAAGAAAGATCTAGAGTGAGGGAGACAGAGCAGGTCTTCCTAGTGCAGCCCCCACCTCTGTCACCTGATCCACAAGCAGGCTTAGGGTCTCCTCTCCTCCCCAGGGCCAGAAATGGGCATCTTGGTAGACATTAAGCTCCCCTAAGACTAGAAATCTGAACCAGTAGGAAGTAGGCCCAGGAGTCCACGGTGCTGCATTATCACAGCCCCAGCTCATCAGGATTCAGTGATATGGGAAGAAATTAGCAGGCAAGTTTTCTTATTATAAATGGATACTTTCTAATGGATTATTTCCAAAAGGAGACCATAGGTGCAGATAATAAACTATTTTGAGAAAGATTTCCAGATCAAAAATTAATAGACATTATGAATCCACTGAAGAAATTTTGAACGAGGGGAATTATGGAGAACATCTAAGCCCAGTAGAAATCTGAGCATCCTGACCCGAGTCCAGAGTTCCTGGGAAAAGCAGGAATATCTCTGAGTCCACGGAGAAAGACAACGTCAGTGATAAGGCCTCAGTTGGAAGAGTTTGAGTTATCAGAGAAGGCTGAGAGGGGGAAAGGAGGGAGGGAAGGTTGAGACAGGAGAGAGCAGACCATGGGAGGCTCTGCTGAGCTTAGTTTCAAGGGATACAAAAAGGAATAGTTTTATTTAAGATTTTAAAAGGTTCATGACACCTGGGCAGTGAGGACTTGGGGGACTTCATTTTATATTAACCATTTTGTTGTTCAGCATTTTTTAATCATGTCCAACTCTTTGTTACCCCATTTGGGGTTTTTTTGGCAAAGACACTGGAGGGGTTTGCCATTTCCTTCTCCATCTTATTTTACAGATGAGGAACTTAGGCAAACAAGGTTAAGTGACTTGTCCAGGGTCACACAGCTAGGAAGTTTCTGAAGCCACATTTGAACTCAGGAAGATGAGTCTTCCTGACTCCAGGCCTGGCACTCTTTACACTGAGCTATGCAGCCGCCTAGTAACCACTTTGCTTGGCTTGTTCCCTATGTAATTTATCCCCATTAGAATTGGAGGAGGTAAAACCTCCTGAATTTGACTGAGGAAAAAGGACTCAAGGAATAAGAATCCATGCTGCTATAAGAGGGTTTCTCCCCCTTCCCTCTCCAGCACATCTCCTTCCCTCTGTCCCTACCCTCTTTCTCCATCATTCATTCTTCCCTTTCTCCTCCTCTCTCTCCCTCCCCTTGTCCCCTTCACTCATCTCCCTTTTTCTGCTCCTAACTCCTCCCCATCACCTCTGTTGCCCTTTTCTCCCTCTGTCACTTCCCTACCTCTTCTCCCTCTCATCCCTCCTCCTTTCTCCTTCCATCCCAGTCGCTTCCCCCATTCTTCTTCCTTCCCCCTCACCTCCCCTTTCTCCCCACTCTCCCCCCCTCCTCTCCCCTCCCAGCTCCTCCCCTCTCGGTCCCCTCCTTTCCTCCTCTCTCCCAATCCATCACCTCCCCCTCCCTTCATCCCTGCTCCCCTTGTCTCTCCCCTGCTCTGGGGGTCCCTGTCCCTGCATCTGCTCCTGTGGACCCCCCCTCCTCCCACCGCCCCCTCCCATCACATCCTCCCCTCCCTCTGCGCTCCCTTCCACCCCCTTCTCTTCTCTTCCCTCCCTGCTCTGCCCCCTCCCCGGGCGCCCGCCCCTCTCCCGCTCCCTCCCCCCTCTCCCGGGGTCCCTGCCGGGCTCCCCTGGTCCCTTCCCCCTCCCCGGGCGCACTCACCGCTCCTGCGCAGTAAGAAGGGCTCAGACACCCCGTAGTTGTGCCTGCACAAGTGTCCACCGCGGCCCGTTCGTCCTCCAGGATCTCCTTCTGGCTGTTCAAACGCTCAGCACTGAGCCGTCCCAGCTCCGTCACCGCCACATACTCCCCCACGTCGCTGTCGAAGCGCACGTACTCCTCCCGGTTGTGGATGTATCTCTCCACAAACCGCACGCGCTCCGTCCCGTTCTCGAAGTAACACTCGGCCTTCATCTGCTCCGTGAAGTGCTCTGGGGGGAAGGTCAGCCCTGACGGACACCACCCCCTCGAATCACTCACCTCAACCTGGGCCTCACCAACGAGAACATGGCCAACATCCGGCTGCCCTTCCTGCGCATGCTCAGCCCCACCCCCTCTGAGGCCCAGAGACTGTGAGCGGCTTTTCCGAGGTCACACGGCAAATCTAGAATGGAGGCAGAACTAGAACCCAGACCTTCAGGTTCCCAGACCTGTCTATCTGCTGCGTCATAGCTGCCTCTCAACCACACCCAGCCTGCTGCAAACACTCCCAGGAAATTTTACCCACCAACCACCCCAAGGCCTCCTCACCCCAGTTTAACCCATTCTCTGATCCTTATCCCTCCAGTGTGTCTTTGTATCCCCTCCCCAGCCCTCTGCGGAGACCCGGGCAAGTGACAGACCCTCAGCAGGCTTTCATAACCTAGAGGTCACACCCCTCTCTGCCCTTTCATCAGAGGACAATAATCAAATCAATATTACCCTCGCTACTGAAAAGGGCATGGATGTGCTGTGCTATGCAAGGCTCTACTCACCATTCCTGTGACTGCTGGACCCCAGCTACCTCCCCCAGTCACCCCTCCTGGCCATGTCTTACATCCTCCTCCTCCTAGAATGTAAGCTCTTTGAGGGCAGGAAATGACTTATTGTTATATGTAAACTAGCACTCAGCACAGTGCCAGGCACATAGTAAGCACTTAATAATGCTAACTTACTGATTCGTATCACTTATCTATCCACCCCACCAAGGATAAAATGCTTTTTAGAAAGTCTAAGTCTGACCACTTCACTCACCTCCTCAAGAAGGTGTAGTGGCTCCCTATGGACCCTTGGAGAAATTTCAAAACCCTAATCTTGGCATGTAGAGCCCTCCCCACTCTGACTCCAGCCTACCTTTCCAGCATCTCCTGTTATTCCCTGTCACACACAATTTATATTTCAGTCAAAGTAGCTTCTTGCAGCTCTCCAAATGCAGCATTTCATCTCCCACCTCCACACCTGTGAACAGCCTCCATGCCTGGCCTGCCCTCTGTCCCACCCCCAACTCATGGATTCCTTGCTTTCTTTATACTTAATAGTCTTTCCTTCTTTCTGGAATGGTGTACTTCCCCAAAGAGAGTCAGTCAATCAGTAAGCATTTATTAAGTGCTTACTGTGTGCTAGGAGCCTTGTTAGGTGCTAGGAATACAAATACAGAGAATGGAACAATCCCCAGCTTTACATTGAAATGGGAGTGACAAGTGTCCATAAAAGTGTAGACAGCCTGAATCCACATGAGGAGAAGACAGGGAGGGAGGAAGGGAAGACGCTGGCATTTGAGGGCATCAGGAAAGTCTTCACTTAGAAAGTGGTGCTTGAGTTGGGCCTTCAAGGAAGAGAGGATCCATGAGGCAGAGGGAAGGACGGAGTGTATTCCAGGAATGGGGGATGGCTGGGCCAAAGGCCCAGAAATGGGAGATGGTGCAGTGTGTGAGGAAAAGGCTCACAGAGTACTGGAAGAGGAGGATTATCATATAAAATGAGGTTCCAGCCAGATTGTGAAGGAATAAAGAGAGGAAGTTCTAACTGATCACAGAAGCACTAGGGAGCCATTGCTGACTATTGAGGAGAGGAGGAACTTAGATTTGCAATTAAGGAAAAACACATTTTTGGTGTGTGACAGATGGTCTGGAGTGAACAGAGACTTGAGGCAGGGAGAGCGATTAGGAGGCCATCATAATAATCTGGGTGAGAGGTGAGGAGGGTCTGCTCATATGGTGGCTATAGAAGCAGAAAGGGTTGTATTTAGGAAGAAACTGAGGAGATTAGCTCAGCAAGTGCTGAATTGTGGGAATTGGGTAAACTGCACTGACTCCATCTTGGGCCTCAGTTCTGGAGCTAGCTCAGTTCCCTTTCTATTCGATTATAGGTAGAGTCCAATTTCTGTCTTGTGAGAAAATTGTATTCAACTGTGTGAATTGAGAGAAAACCTTATTTCATTGTTTGAATCCAGCGCTGCATGGCTGGGAAGCTGGACCACCTCTGCCTGCTGCTTAGACACCCTTAACTAAGGCCCAAGGTTATGCTAAGCAGAAACAAGGGCAGATGCAGAGGCTGAGGCCAGGAGCTTCCTCACAGTTGTACATCCCAAGCAACCCATCTGTCTTATCTGAAAACTGGGCCCATACTAATCCACCAGTTATCGTTTCCATGTTCCTTTAATTGTTCACAAACACTTGTGGGGGGAGGGGGACACCTCTTTCTCTGGTTTCAGGGAATTACACCTGTTTGCTCTCCCCCTCCCAACTTGGAATGTCCTTAATCCTTTTCCTTCTAACATTTTCCCACTTTTAGATCCAGGAGTTATCAAATTTCTGACATTGTGCTTCTTAATCTCAAGCACATCTTTGCTTCCCTGACACCTTGAGCTAGCTGTGCTGATAACTCCTGAGTCCATCCCCATACCTTTGACTACCCTACTCAGCCTAGTCCTTCCTACCAGTATGACAGTCTACAACACAGCTCTCTGCCAAGGTTCAGAGGCCAGGCATGATGGCTCAAGCTTCAGCACCTGCAGTGGCCTCCTAAGTGCTCTCTGTGGTTTAAAATCTTCTACTCTCAGGGGTAGCTAGATGGGGCAGTGGATAGAGCACTGGCCCTAAAGTCAGGAGGACCTGAGTTCAAATCCTGCCTCAGACACGTAATACTTACTGGCTGTCTGACTCTGGGCAAGTCACTCAACCCCAATTGCCCTGAAAAAAAATTATCTCTTCTCCAAAGGATCTACCTCACCCCATGATTCTCCATTGTCAGTTAGATAAAGAACAACTTCTTTAGCCTAGAAATCAAGGTCTTCTCCACCTGTGCTCCCATCTCTTTTTCTAACCCACATGAAACCTCAGCCCAAGCCAAAGGCTGTGGACAAACCCTTAGTTTCTCCTTGTGCTTGCCCTTTTCTGTGGTCATTCTCCCACAGATGTGAATTCTCTCCCTATTACTGGGGAGGTACCACCATCCTGCCAGTCACCTAGGCTCACAACCTCAGTGTTGTCCTCACTCTCATCACCCATATTAAATAGACTCCATTTTCTGCTCTGACCATGCCATGGCCCTGATTCAGGCCCTCGCCACCTTCCACTTGCATTATTCCATTAGCTTACTGGTGGCTGTGCCTGCCTCCAGTCTCTCCCCACTCTAGTTCATCTTCATTCTGCTCTCAAATGGATCTTCCTAAAGCACAGATCTGACTACGTCACCCACCTGCTCAATAAACTCCAATGGCTCCCTATCACCTTCAGCATCATATTTAAAAATCCCAGTTTGGCCTTCAAAGCCCTTCACAACCTGGCCCCTCCCACCTCTTCACTCTCCTTACCCCTGACTCCCCCTCCCCCCATGTGCTCTGTGATCCAGTGATACTGGCTTCCCTAATCTCCCTCCTACCGGACACTCCATCTCTCAGCTCTGGGCATTTCCTCTGGCTCTCCCCCAGGTCTGGAATGCTCGCCCTCCTCATCCCTGACTCACGGCTTCCCTGGCTTCCTTCCAGTACCAGCTAAAATCCCGTCTTCCACGGGAAGCCTTTTCCCAGTCTCCCTTAATTCTAGTGCCTTCCCTCTGTTTGTTATCACCAAGTTATCCTAAATATAACTTGTTGTACACAGTTGTTTTCATGTTGTCATCCCCAGGGACTTTTACCTTTCTTTATGTCCCCGGCAGTTAACACAGTGCCTGGCACAAAGTTTGATTAACTTCTAGCTGGGAAGGAACATAGATATTGTGTAGTTTGTATGATTGTCCACAAGGGGGCAGCACCTGCTCAGTACACCCATGGGTGATAGCAGGATGATACTGGAGTTGTCGGCTAGGTTAAGCAGCCATCACCTTGCTAGGGCTGGGAGATTCCACTGCCCTTGGGTGTCTCCTTGCTCAGTCCTTAACAGACTGTCTCTAGAAGGCCCTTCTCTCTTGCCCAGACCTGGAGAATGGGTGTTACACATGGCATACTCTCCCCCCAGTGTCAGTGCAGGTGGCAAAGCTCAAAAGTGAGTCAGATTCCTTGAGAACAGGGTAGGATCCCAAAGAGACTGTGATGGGCCAGGCCAGGTGCCAGGCCTGGCTGCAGGGGAAATAATGCAGACAGTGCCAGAGAGGCTTTTATCTGTTCCCCTATAATACTTACACTAGCTGGAAGAGGATTGTGTCCCATCCCAGAGGGATCCTTCTCTGCCCAGGACAAAAGATCTCACACCCCTTCTGGGTCATGGCAGAGGCCTCTTGATCCTGACCAGGCTTCAGGGACAGCAGCAATAGTGTGGAGACCTGAGATGACACTGAAAGATGGGGAGTAGGGAGTGCAAGCCTGGCCTGACCCAGGGGAGTGGGGGATGGGGGAAAATTGCCTACATCTCTTTTTTCAGTCCATTAACAATGGATCATGAAGATAGGAGAAAAGCCAGCTGGGATCAATCCTCTTGGTCTCTCTAGACCAGTACCTGTCCCTAACCTGCCTCTGAGAAATGGATGGGGACACATTCCCCTACTCCACCATGATGTTATTCATGAAAACCAGGGGTGGTCCCAAACACTCCAGTGTCACTCATGGCCTTGAAATAACACCTGGGAAATTAATCCAGGAAAGTCTACCCCTTGCTCCCCCAATAACAGTCGAATTTAAACCTTTCCAGCAGCTTAGTCAAACTTTGGGACAATCTGTAGTCGGACAGAAACACTCAGCCAGGGTGGCAGTTCTGGCCATGTCAACCCCTAATCAATAAACTCCAGTGATTCCCTGTCACCTCCAGGATCAATTATAAAATTCTCTGCTTGGCCTTCAAAGCCCTTCCCAACTGGTCCCCTCCTACCCGTCCAGCCTTCTTACACTTTATGTTCCCAGGCCCCCAGTACACTGCTAACCACTGACATGGGCCTTCTTGTTCTTCCATAAATTTCTCCATCTCCCCACTCCAAGCACTCTCTGGCTGTCTCTCAGGCTTAGAATTTTCTTCTTCCTCCCCTCTGCTTCCTCACTTTCCTGACTTACTTCAAGTATCAGTTCAAATCGCACCCTCTACAGTAAGCCTTTCCTGATCCCCCTTAATGTTAGTGCCTTCCCTCTCTTGATCATGTCCCATTTCTCCTCTATCTATCTTGTTCATACAGAATTGTTTGCCTGTTGTCTCCCCCATTAGACTGTGAGCTCCTCAAGAACAGGAACTGGCCTTTGCCTTCCTTTCTATCCTAAGCATTAGCACAGTGCCTGGCAGGCAGTAGCTGCTTCATGATTTCTTGTTGACAAACTGCCTCAATCCCTCAACTCTTGGAGGGGGGCTGCATCAATTCCCTGAACCCTGAAAAAAAGGGGGAAAGGAAGCAAAGGACCATGGAAGAGTTAGTTGGGAGGGGAGCCTGAAAACCAGTTTCACCTACTGCCCACCTGTCTGAGGACCATCCTGTCCCAAGTCCTTCCTTCGGTCTTGGCCTAAAGGGAAGAGTTCTCCTCTTGGGCCCCAACCTGGGCTCTCTGGGGAGCTGCTGCTCTGTAGTTACCTGGGGCATGTCTGCCTGCAGCCACCTGGGAATTCAGCACCAGCAGGGTCACAGCCAGAACCTCTGTCCAGATGCCCCTGGGGAGCAGCACACACGCCATCCTGCAGACAAGATGAAGCTAAGGGACCCAGAGAGATGTAACAGTCAGGATGGCCCTCACTTCATGGGAACTCCCCCGAAGTCTCCCAGACTAAGAATATACAGACTCTTTTGATTGCTCCAGGGTGGGGCAATCTCAGAAGTGAGAGAACCAATTAGCATTAGGAATGAAGGGCATCATTAGTTCCCAGGCAGAGGTTCCTATTGCAGGGTCTGTTCTAATACTTAAATGTATTTCTGGTGAAAAAAAAATAAAGGTCCCTGAAATCATAGAATCTCAGGGAAGGAAGGGGCCCCAAAGGTAATGTCTTGGCCACACTATTACAATAGCCAAATATTAGCATCCTGAAGCTGAGCTGCTAGTGTAGATCAGTCAAAGTCTTCACTACTGTAGTGGGTCCCATAAAGCTGAAGAAGGACTCATTAGTCCTTCTTAAAATATCAGTAATGTTTTTTAAAAATGGAAGATAGACAAGTCTGTAATCTATAGTTCAATAAATTCTGCTTTTGGCTCCCAGAAAAATTTTAAAACACATTTTAAAAGATGTGGTTTGTGAGCATTTTGAAAGGGAAGAGTGATTGTGTAAAAGCCATCAAGACCTCATCAAAAACAGGTCATCACAGACAAACCTTCCATTTTTTGACACTGTAACTGAACTGATGGTTCAAGAGAATGGTGTAGATATAGTAAACCTGTCAGATTCCAACAAAGAATCTGACAGTCTCCAATGCTACCCTTGGAAAGAAGATGGACAGATATACACTGGAGGATAATGCTGTTAACTAGATTTGGAAATGGTTGAACAGCTGGCCCCAAAGACGAGTCCTTGGGGATTTGAATGTCAGACTGGAGAAAGTTCTCTAGTAGAGCACGCTAGGAAGCTGTCCTTGGTCTTGTACTAGCCAATGTTAAGTTTTTATCATGCCTTGGATGAAGACATAGGAGGCATGCAAAGTGAATTTGCAGATGACTTGAAACTGGGAGACAGAGCTAATGTATTGGATGACAGAGCCAGGATCCAAAAAGTTGTTAACAAGTCAGAATGATGTGAGAATTGAATGGAATGAGATTTAATTTAATTGAGATAAGTGGAAAATGCTTGGTGTTTTGGTGACAGGTCAGTTGTAATTCCTAGAAGAAGTGATGCAAGAATTTTTAAAAGTATTTATAAAAGAGTTTAAGGTGACTTTTTAAGTGAAAGAATAGTGTCAAAGAAAAGAGTTAAAAAAGAAGAGAGATTTGGAGGAAAAACTTGGAGAATTAACTACTTAGCACAAGAGGTGCAAACATGTATCAAATTAATTTCTTCTATGGGACTGGGAATATCTTTTAATGTTTTGTCTGAAAACTTCTTGAACTGGTGAAAGATCTGTGAAAAATGGCCTTAGTGCCCAGTTGTAAAGTTGAAGAATCTGCAATCAGAAAACTCACATGCTAATGCCCCTATATCCTAGATGGTGATGAGTCTGAGCTGCAATAATTCAGCACCATGGATTGATGATCCATGTCTGCTTCCTGGTAGCCAAGGTGTATGGCTTATATAACAATGTACATGGCTACATCCAGGTTGTGGGGAAAATGGGGGGGGGGACACTGGAACCTTTCTATGCAATGGAGACTAAGGCAGGATTTTGATAAGAAAAATTGTATTGACTTTCTCCCACAGGATTGTATTTTTTTTCTTCCAGTTGAGCATGAAGTAACGGGATATCCAGCAATGATGGCTCTCCCTAGATGCCACAGTCTGGTTGTCTGTTCTATCATTGGTCTCCTTCCTGATACCATTAAAGGCAAATGACTCTTGATTGGGCAGGAAGAGGCAGCTAGGGTTGTAGATTTGTGTTTAATCCATAAAGGAGTTTGAACTTTCTAGGCCCTTATTGGTATTGGAAATGACCACTCCATCCCCAGTGTGGAGATGTCTGCATCTGCCAAAAGGAGCATGTTGGCTATCATGATCATGATCATCATCATCATCAATAACAACAACAACAACAACATTTGGAGTTAGTTCTTTCCCAGCTGTCTATCTGGGCAGAACAGGAACCTGCCATTTCAGATTATCTCAGGGAAGGAAGAGGATGGGAAATTCCCTGAGTACTAGTGAGGGTTTCAATACACCAGATATCACTCCAATATTCACTTTTTCCTTATCAGTACTCTTTCTTTGTCTCCCCTCAGGACCACAGGAAGGATATAATTTCTTTTAGGATGTGATAGAGGTAAGAGTAGAGAGCATCAATGGGTCAATAATTATTTTAGCACTATTGTATGCTCAGTATTGTTAAGCTCTGTGGGGAACAGAGAATTATCAGTTTAGTCTCTGTCTTCTGGTTGCTTACAACTTAGCTGAAGAAAGGAAGACTTACTTCCAGCTTTTTGAAGTCAATATAGTTTTGTCTTTTAATCAGAGTTCTGAGGTCTTTCAGCGTTTTGTTTTTCTACTATTTAACATGGTATAATGCTGTTCATACATTTCAGATATTTTGTAATTTGCAGGCACTTACTTTGTCTCCATTTCTAGAGGTTTACAATGAAGTGTGCTTTCTCAAACAGGGCTGATTTTAATTTATTGCTAAGAGGGTCTTTACTAGAGGAGGGGAGGAATGGTACATTAAGGTTGGTGATAGCTGCAAAAAAAGAAACAGCTCTTAAGAGGATGTGAAAATCATCTATAGTTGTCATTTGTAGTGTGCTACAGTGATCTTGAGAAAAATGATCGTTATCTATGAAATCATAACTTTTGAAAACAAGGAAAGATTTCTCAGCATTTAGAGATAGAACTCAAAATAGTGAGAGATAATTACAACTGGTAAATATGAAAATGAACAAAGGATGGGAACTCTAGAACCTAAGGAAGGTCAGTTTGTCCCTAAATAATTTGCTCCCTGGGACAGGAAAGTGACTTGAGGCATGTTCTTTGGAGACAAGACAATATAAAGTCTTTCCTGAAGAAGTTTCTAGCTTTCTCCATGATTCCTTTTTTCTGCCATCATAACATCTCTCCTAATTGTCCCCTTCTCTTTCCTCACACAGCCACCATCACTGTTCAGATTGTCATCACTTCTCTAGATGCTTCTCTCTGGAGTTTGCCACTGTGTTTCAGCTGCCTTCTTCCCTTGCTCCTAAGGTCCCCTTCTGTCATTGATGATTTCTCCCAGAATCTCCATTTTGGGGAAAGACCCCAAATACTCATACTTCAATTTCTGTACCTAAGCACCATGCCTTCCATGGGTAACTTCCCTCTCTCCCTCTGCCCCCAAGGTCTTGCCAGCTTTCTTTTATATGTTGTCTTCTCCCATTAGAATGGAAGCAACTTGAGAGCATAATGGTCTTCATGCATGGATTTGTACTCCCCCCCACCCCAGCACTTAGAGCAGCATATGACACATAATAAGTGCTTCATAAATGCTTGTGAAGTTGTTGATTTGACTCTTGTTTGGACCATTGCAATAAGCTTCTATTTGGTCTTCCTACTTCAAGTTTCTCTACACTCCAATTCCTTTTCCATTTAGGTGCAAAAGTGTTTTTCCTAAAGCAAAGATCTGCCCGTGTCATTCTCCTAATCCATAAACTCCAGTGATTCTCTGTTATCTGCAGATTTTCCATTTGCTATTTCAAGCTCTTCTCGAACTTCCCCTTTCCTCCCTTTCCAGTCTTCATATACTTGACTTTCCTCCCACATTCCACACTCAGCTACCCTGGGCTACCTGGGGGTCCTTCATTCATGACACTTCATTGCCCATCACTATTCCTTGTTGTTGGCCATCCGCCATGCCTGACATGATCTTTTCCTCATCTCTCTCTTACTCCCCTCTGACTGGCTTCCTCCAACATTCACCTCAAATTCCAATCTCCTTTGGGAAGTCCTTTTCACATTCCCCCAGCAACCAAATGACCTGAAATTATCTTCAAATTTCTTTCACTCATCTCTCATGTCTTTCATCTCTCATGTCTTTCATCTCTCTCTCTCTCTCTCTCTCTCTCTCTCTCTCTCTCTCTCTCTCTCTCTCTCTCCCCCTCCCTCCCTCCCTTCCTCTATCTCTCCACACATGTACATGTTAGTATAGATATGTATGTACCTATATGTGTGTATGTGTGTATATATGTATATACACACATACACATGCATAAATGCATGGATATACATATATATACCTATCTACATATGTGTGTGCCTATATGTATGTGTGTTTGTATTGTCAACCTATAGGGTTTGGTCTAAGAAAGACAGAGATGATTCAGTCATTGGTTATTTCTCTTGAAGTGGCAGCACACATGCATGGCCACTGCAGTGTTGGAAATGAGCACATTTTGGGATTAGGGTAAAGAGTTTACATAAGGTGCACATGGGTGATGTCACCCCATTATCATTTTACCTCTGGATAGAGGAAATACTTCTTTTATCAGACCATGCCTGGGATTTGGGCTATCTAGACAAAAGAATCTGTCTCCTCAAGTCTGAGCAGGACTTCTTTATCTTAGATTAAATTACTTGTGAGCTTGGATGGGGTTTGAGGAAGATAAGCAGAGTCAATGCTGTCTCATTATCAGTAATGTCCTCTGAAGTAAAGCTGAACTTAAAGTCAGAACTTTGGAAGAAGGGGGCTGAGGGAACCTCTGAATCTCCAAGATAATGATCATGAAAAATCATTTTTCACATTTCCCCATCTGATTCTAATGAGGGTTGTAAACTCCTCAATGAATCACTAATTGATATGGCCAACACTTCATCAAAGGTTTTGGGACTCATGACAGGTAACAATGTGGGGGGAGGGGAATAAAAATTGATCAATACATTTGACAAAACCAAAGGAGGCAGTTCCCTTTAGTAAGTAGATGCATTGACAAAACCAAAAGTGGCAATCCTCTTTAGTAAGTAGACTATACAGATAAAAAGACGCAAAGAGAAAAAGTAAACAATAAATAAAACTGTCCATTTCAGGCTAAGAAGTGTCATCTCATATAGCTGTCTGGGGTCACTATCTGATGAAGTTCTCCGGTCTGGGTGTGCTCTAAGCATTTTCCCACTAACTGTCTTCTTAGACTCCTTGTAGAGATTATCTTTGTT